CTTTTCTTTAATAATTGTCCTGGGATCACCTGTTCCTGAAATGAAAGATAACTACTATCCCCTTTTAGTTACACATCTTCTACAATCATAGTTTTGACAATCACAATTAATCCTGCTAATAACTATTCACAATTAAAAGCATAAAATCCTATCAGCATCATCCTCCACCCCACTTTCACCATATCCATCTGAAAAAGAGGAAAACTATTTAGTGGGGATTCTCCTTGAAAATTTCTAAGCCAGTCACTTCATGTCTTTATAGCCACCCCAATTTTTGATAGCCAATGTCTAAATTGCCCATCTTTATCAACCCTGTACATTGAGGAGACAAGCATGCTCCTTGATATGAAGAATATCCCATGCCAACTGGAATTTTGAGCAACTGCATCCATAAGCAAAAGTCCAGTTCATCAAAGTGTAACAACTAACACTTGCTCAGAGTATCAAACATCTTTATCTTCTTCTGATCAGTTCAGCCCTAGCCATCCAAGCTAGGTCAAATGGGTACCAGCTGAAAGTTTGGGAGTTCACACATACCTCCTTGCACTTCACACCAGTTGGCCTCTTCACTCTCAGCCTTAGCTCCCATGAGCTAGGTCAGTGCCTGTGGGCTCAGAAGTTCACACAACTCCCTAAACTTCAGACCAACCAGCCTTCCCTCTCCTCTTATCTCAAGGTCAATGGGTGCCAATAGAACACGTCTCGTTTACAGTAATAGGCAGGAGAAACCAACATCCATAAGGCAGTCAAACATGTAAACTTTTTAAAGCACTCAAGCTCAATCTTTTCTTCTCTCTTGGTCTAATCCCTTTCATATGCATATGACCTTAGGCCTCTGACAGGGTGGATTTCAGTAGGTCCTGGCCACAATCAGCTATCATTTCTATCCATGTGACTTTGTTGTTGTTAAGTGCCACACATTAACCCACAATGCCACACCAGGACTCCATATATATGTATGTATACATATAAAGTTTATTACCAATGAGATGGCTTACAATTGCAGAATCCCAGGTCCCCATGGGCGAGAGAGAGCATTCCCCATGTCCATTATATTGGAAGCAGGCCACACCCCCAAAGAAACATCCTTTCAATTGATTGGCTACTCATAATCAATCATCATAGAGTTAACTAAGCCTGTTTTAGGTTTCATCACCCTGGAATAAGCACATCTCAACTGCTAAACCTCTGGAGATCATAGCCTAGTCAAGTTGACACAGAACCCTAACTATTACACCTCCCCTGTACCCAGGACTGTGCCTGGTGCTGGGAGGAATGAGGTGGAAAAGACTATGATTCAATCCTCAGGCGCTTCATAGTGCAGCATTAGAGAGGCACCGAAAGGGTCTGCAACCCTGGTAGTCCACAATGTTGTTGTTGTTAAGTGCCGTCGAGTCGGTTTTGACCCATAGCGA